ATATATATATATATATATATATATATATATATATATTTATTTATTTATGTATATATATATACATATATATACATTATGCTCTATTAGGAGTGTACGTACCTTAGCGGCCCGCAGACCCACCAGGCTGTCCTCCACTACCACACACTGAGAGGCCTGCAGACCCAGCGTAGAGGCGGCCTGCAGATACATCGCGTGAGTAGTAGTATTAGTATTCGTAGTATTGTTATTAGTATTTGTAGTAGTAGTAGTAGTAGTAGTAGCATTATTATTAGTATTAGGTAGTAGTAGTAGTAGTAGTAGTATAATTAGTAGTAGTTATAGTAGTAATAGTATAATTAGTAGTAGTATTGTTATTACCTTCAGATAAATCATGGGGTGGGGCTTCTTGTCCGTTACGTCGTCGCCGGCTATGATCACGTCCATAAGAGAGAGACGCTCCTGAGAGTAAGGTGGTGGTATTAAGTAGACCGAATTAGATACACCATAGAGTAAGGAGTTTTAGAAAAACAGTGAGCGTAGATCAGAGGGTGAAAAGACCCAGATTTGGGTAGGGACTATTGATAAAAAGATAGATAAAAAGACAGATAAAAAGACGTCTTTCATGTAATTCTACACCACCTGCACCTACCTGCCCCACGAGCGTGTCGACGACTTTCTCGAAACCGGCCCTGGTGGCGGCGCTGCAGATGCCCACCTGTGGGGGGTGGGTGTAGTGGGTAGGTAGTGGGCAAGGGGTGTAGGGGTGGGTTAGGGGTGGGTTAGGGGTGGGTTAGGGGCGGGTTAGGGAGTAGATTGAGTAGGTGGATAGTGAGTTAGGGAGCAGAGTGAGTATTTGAGTATAGGGTTGGAGGCGAGGTGAGGGGGTGAGTGAGTGTGAGTATAGGGAGTAGAGTATCCCGTTCGTGTTATCCATATTTATGTATTTATGTACATATAATGTTATCCTGTTATCCTGTCAGTGGGCGTACACGTACAGCGTACCTTCAGGTCGGGGTCTGCCAGCGCCTGGTCCATCAGCCGCAGCACGCCCGGTCTGGGCTGAGCCACCTCGTCCAGCAGGGACTTGTAGAATTCGGTCTTGGCGTCTTGCAGCTGGTCCACGAGGAGGCCTCTCGCTGGGGGGGGGGTAGGGAGTAGGGATAAAGGGGGCAGGGATTCGGGAAGACAGGGGTTAGGAGGGCAGGCAGGGGGTAGTGGCAGGGGGCAGAATGTGTGAACAGTATGTGAGTGTTTCCCCCTATCTCCCCCTCCCTCTCTCCCTCTCCCCCCCTCTTTCTCACTCACCCTCTGCGGACTCGGGCGCCTGCATTCCTTCTCCTAGGGGGGGGGTGTATGTGGGCCAGGCCCCCCTCTCGGTGTTGAAGTAGTGCTGCATCTTGGGCTTGCCGCCTCCCACTGTGTTCTGCAACTTGTCGTCTGAGGGATGGGGGTGGGGGTGGATGGGGATTAAAGGGTTAGAGCGATGTTGAACATATGGGCAGATAGGTGGATGGGCAGATAGGTGGATGGGCAGATAGGTGGATAGGCAAATAGGTGGATAGGTGGATAGGCAGGCAGAGACACCGCACAGGCGTAACACCACAGCATCCCCCAACAGTCTCTCCCACTCACAGTATTCTACGTCCCACACCGCACAGGTAGGTAGGCAGATAAGGTAGATGGCACAGACGCAGTCATGGTTATAGGCAGGCAATAATAGGCAATAGGCAATAGAGCAGTTGGTTGTAGACGTAGCACTCACAGTACTCCACGTCCCACGACAATAATACGCAAAAATACGATCCCTATACGCACACATACGGTAGCACTAACAGTATTCTACGTCCCACACCACAGGTGCGTCCCCCAGTCTCAGCTGGAAGGCGTCGAAGGCAGCGTTGTAGGCCAGGCGGTGCAGCTCCTGATGGGGGATACATGGGATTGATGAGGTTGATGGGATTAATGCACAGGTGATATAGTGAGGGGGGGGTTATTGCACAGGCGTAGAGAGGGGGGTAAATGGTATAAATGGTATGCATCATAGGGGAGGAGCTACTGATAAGACTACTAATAAGACTACCACTGACGACTGACTGACTGACTGTGACTACCACTACTAATCAGACTACGACTGACTGGCGTACCTCTGTCTCCACGATCACTCCGTCGCAGTCGAACAGCAGCGCGAACTCCAAAGCAGCAGCAGCAGCAGGAGTAGCAGCAGGAGTAGCAGCAGGAGTAGCAGCAGGAGTAGGGGTGCTCAGGACAGTGGAGGTAGCGGGGCCACGGCGCAGGCCAGGGATGAAGCCGAATCCGTACCTCTTCCTTGGCCCCTGTCCCTCAGCTGTGGCCTTGAGGCGAGAGGAGCGAGAGCGGGACTGTGGGGGTTGTGCTTGTGCGGGTTGGGACGAGGGGGCGATATTTAACGTGCCCCTCCTACTGTTGCGCAATCTGGAGGCCAACTTCTGCCCCCGCATGAGCACTGCCTGGGCGAGGGGGCAGGGGATGCGGCTCACGCGCTCGGAAAAGCTCCTGCCCACCCCCGCGGCACTGGTGGGCACGCGTGTGGGCAGCGAGGGCAGAGAGCGAAAGCTGAGGGCGCCCAGCAGCAGGGCCTGCAGGAGGAGGGCCTTTAGCAGGCTGGTCATGCTTCACAGGAGACACAGACAGAGAGTGGGGGTCGGTGGAGTGCGGAGGAAGAGGAAAGATTCAGGTGGGGAAAGCAACCGTATCGTGGGTGCCAATCTCTTCAACGTTCGTTCCAAATTTTCTTCAAATCCCACCTCCCGTCCTTCTCCCAGCCGACAATTCCCGCTCCGCATTTATATACATTTGTGCTCATGGAATGGGGGTTCTTTGGGTTGGTGTCCGAGTGGTCTAAGGAGGTGGACTTAAGACCCACTGTGTTCGCACGCGAGGGTTCGAACCCCTTCCATCCCATCATTCTTTTGCATTTTTCTTGCATTTTTTTGCATTTTTCAGCCAAAGTTTGGATCCAGCCAAACAGCTCGGAGCTTTTCCGCGTTTGGCTAGTTGGGTGTTTGCGGCATGCGTAAATAGAAGGATTTTCGTTCGACGTTTAACGTTTTTTTTTGAATTTCGTCGATTTGATGATCGTCGAAGCGTCCTCCGCTCAAAGGATCGAGCACTGAAAAGAAATTCGTCGAACTGAGTTCAGGAGGACCTCTGCTCATTAGTTATTCCGTGTTCAAGGTGTTGGGGCCTCAGAATGGACAGCGACGATGACAACTGGCGCCTGGGGGAGAGGAGGAACCAGCGCGCGTACGCCGCTCACCAGCGCCGCACAGGCCTGGACGCAGAGGACCGCATGGCTGAGCAGAATAGCTTAATCGCCGGGTGCTGCCTCGGTTTCATCGCCGCAACCCACATGGAGGAGAACAACGTCAGCAGGTTTTTTCTCGAGACCATCGAGACGCTTTTCGTGATGGTGTGCTGCTTATTCATGCACGTGGGCGACCTGAGAACGCCGCGTCTCTGCACCCCGGACGCCATCCCCAAGAACCGCTACAACTTCGCCAGTCTTTCCGACGGGCAGTACGATGCGATGATCGGGCTGGCCCGAGGCGATGTCCAACAGTGCTACGACGCTATGCGGATTCCTGCTGATATCATTCTCAACCCCGGCACCCGGCACGCGTTCCGCGTCGATGGGCAGCATGCGTTCCTGTACTTCCTGTTCAGGTACCGTAGCCCGTCCCAGCGCCAGACCCTCGACCAAGCCTTCTGGGGATACGATTACTCGAACCTGTCGAAGATCTTCAACACCATCGTGGCCTACGTGGACGAGCAGCACGCGTTCCGGTTGCGGCGACTTCCGGAGGCAGCGGCCAAGTTCGCGACCTTCAACGAGAGAATCAAGGCCAAGCTCCAAGAGCAGTATCCTAATGAAGCCCTCCCTCCTGATGCCGATCACTGCGCGCTCTTTGCCGACGGCTGCCGCGTGGAGGTTAGTGTGCCGGAGGGCAGTTGGTGGGTCCAGCACGCCGTTTTCTCCGGAGACAAGTGGTACCATAACCACGCGTCGCAGGGAGTCTTTGGGCCCGATGGCATCATATACGACTGGTACGACAAGGACCTCGGCAAGGACCCGGACCGGACCATGATGCGGAACAGTAACGTCAACTCCATCCTGGCGGGTGCTCAGCTGTACAGCCTGATACAGCACTGGGTGTATTGCGACAAGGGGTATAGCAACAACACCCACGTTCGCTCTGCTGCGCACGGACCTGGGTACGTTTCTCACCTGCAGTGGTTCCACAATGCCATGATGTCGCGCGCCCGCGTCACCATAGAGTGGGGGTTTGGAAAGGTCTACGCAAGGTGCCCCTTTCTCAAGCGCCCCTCGCTGCTCAAGCTCCAGCAGACGGATGTGGCGCGACTCGTGCGCGTTGCAGTCTTCCTGACTAACGCACACACATGCATGCGCCAGTCCGGCACTGGTATCTACTTTGACTGTGCCGCCCCCTCTCTCGCAGAATACTTCGCCTAAATAGTTTGTGCTGTGCCTGTAAATAAGCACCGAGACCGGCCACACGGTAACTTTTGACGCCTATTAAAGTGGTACGTCGCTGCGAATATTAGAAAAACAGGGACAGTCCCCCTCTATCGTACTATCTTGTGTCCATACCCGCCCCCCCCCCCCCCC